ATTAGCTATGATGATGAGCACTGAGACATTGTATGTGTTATTTCTCATCCTTTAGTAGTTAATAAATATTAAAAGTGATCACCATAGCTATTGTTACCTGCTAGAATTCCTATTGTAAATAGTTTATGGTGATTATGGCTATACTCTATTGCTAAACTGATTTATTTTGGCTAGTTAAAATGGGTTAACATTATGATAAGAGACCCTTTTTATATTTGTATAAAAGGTGTTTTGACACATTATTATTTGACATCTCACCTCATTGTGACACCTATAATTGAAAATTAGCATATATGTACATGTACTATTATCATTGTATATATTATACAATTTGGCTTCCATATATACCACACCACAGGTACCTTCCTTTCTAATAAGTATAAGTATAGAAATACATTAATAGTACACAATTCCTGGAATTGCTTGTTTAGATAATGATTCTTGGGGTGAACTTTGTATAGTTTGAGGCAGAACCAGCTTTTTTTAATAAATGTAATGTAGAATTCCTCTATACAGTAAAAATGAAAACTTGTACAGTAAAAATGAAATAGAAATTATCATGAAAGTTGTTTTAATACCACAGAACTACTTTAAATGAATTATATTGTACCATCATTCTGTCCTTAAATCATACATTACAGCAAAAATGAATAAAAATTATCATTAAAGTTGTTTACTCTAAATCAACGAGACATTGTTTATTGATTTATCTTGCCAATAGTAAAATAGTAAGCTTAAAAGTTGCTGTGCCAACATAGGTCATGCTGCTATATATTTATTTTTTATGTATGTCTGCCAAAATAAAATAATAAACGTATTATTGAATTTGTCCATAAGCAGTGTTAGGTGTAGTATCAATCACTTGTTCTTGTTGTTCATTGTTGATAGTTGGTAAATCATATATTGGACCAATGTCTACTGGTGATCTTTCTCTTAGTGTATTCCCTTTATTCTTCATTATACAGTATACAATGATACTAGTAATTATTGATGTAATGAGTCCAGTTAATAGACCAGTGATAGGTACTGCAATAGCAACTGAATGTGTGTGTATAATAGATACATTAGATATGTACATACATTAATGTATTAACTAACCAGAACTGATGATGGATCCTGTACATGTGGATTGTGACGTGATGGAAGTAGAGCCTAACAAAATATAATTTAGTAATATCAATTTATTTTAAAAGTGTAAATTGACTACTTAATTAACATTTACTACCACATGCTTAACTTTGTCATTAATTTGTAAACATGATTTAGCAGTTTACTATATAGTCAGATAATGTCAAAAAATTAAGCCATTTTGGGATTGAAAAGATATAGATTATTTGGCTCTTTCTTAAAATGGTTGTAACTTGAAAAATTGATATCGGAATCAGCTCAAACTTTCTACACGGCATAAATACATCAATATGTATCAGAAAATGTAATAAAAAATTGGGGTAATTTTGGAGCCATTTTTTTGAAAAAACCATGGGCTATAGCCTTGGTTATTTTCAGATTTTGGGCTATTTTTTAAATTGGCTGTAACTTGAAAAAGTGATATCGGAATCAGCTCAAATTTTCTACATAGCATTGAAAAAACCTTGGGCTGTAGCCCAGTTTCTACACAGCATAAGGACATCAAGCATCAGAAAAATAAAGGTAATTTTTGGAGCCATTTATTAACAAATCCTAGGCAATAGCAACTTATTGATTAAAAATTTGGATGATTTTTAGGTGCTTAAAAATTGCAATAAAATGTCAGTTAGTAAGAAAGCATTGCACTGAAAAGATTTCAGTATTATAACATAAAATGTATTTAGCACAAACTTGATATTGTTGATGGTTCTATGCTGCTTGAAGTCTCTGATACTATTGTATTATCAATGATCATCAGAGATATTGACATTGAAGTGAATCTGTTACTGCTACTACTGGTGATAGCATCAGATAAACTTTTAGTAACTGAAACTATAACAAATATGGAATAGAAAGTATTAGATCTAATTTAGTAGACATTTGTATTTACGTTTTTATAATAATCATTCTACTAACCAGTTAAAGTGGTTGTTGTTGAAATGAACTGTTGATCAGTTATGTTGACTAAAGGTTATACACAATACACTAAATATACTCATCAGTTTATAATAAACAAACCTGTAATGTTAATCAGTGGTCCCTCTCCAATAGCATTAGCTGGTTTTATGTATACAGTATATTCATTATTGAGATATAGTCCATTAATAGTTACATTAGTATCAGTTGTATTAATAGTAATATTGTGTACACTAACAATGTAATGTACTGGAGGATAATGTAATGTAACATCCTATTAATAATAATAATGATTTATAGTTAATAATACCTTAACATACTTCATTGATATTCCACCATATTGTAATACTATCAGTTGATATCTGATCCCAACTAATATTAACAACTTGAGCTGGTACTATAAGAAATACAATGAGTGTGTGTGTGTATAGTACTTACCATTCCATATATACTGTATTAATGATGAAGGAGGTCCTTCTCTTCTAATAGTATCAATAGGAATAATAATAAATGAATAATTATTACCAATAATAAGAGAAGGAATAGTTGCTGATGATACGTTACTAA